TATACGGCAGGTTAGGTTCCAGGCTACTGCCGGAAAGCAGACTTTGCCAGAAAGCAGAACTCCATTTTTTCCATTTATAAATGCATATAAATGCCAGATAACAAGTTTACACTAACATGTATTAAGTTAGCAATAGTACTAGGCAATAAGAAGTAAAATACACATACAGTACACTTATTATTTACCTCAAAATATTTGTAGTCTTAATGTAGGGCAAAAGGTGAGTAGTATTTACTCTTAAGAAGTCAGGTGTGGTAGCCCTCCTGGCCACCCCACCCACACATACTATACTACGATGCTTAAAGCTCCCTAGAGCAATAAAATGCATATACATGTACAGTACACATATTACTTACCTTAAAATATTTGTAGTCTTAATGGTCTTAATGTAGGGTGAGAGGTGAAAAGTATTTATTTGTAGAAAGTCATGTGGGAGGTATGACATCCTGCCTGGCCACTTATACCTACTACGACATTAAGCTCCCTAGAGCGATGAAATGCATATATAGTACACTCATTAATTACCTTAAAATATTTGTAGTCTTAATGTAAGGTGAGAGGTGAGTTTTATTTGTATGAAGTCAGGTTGGGAAGTATGGGTAGCCAGAAGGGCAACGCTCACCACCCCACCCACACAATATAAACAAACCAGACGAATACGTTTGGTTTTTGTCACAACTCCTACAAGTTGCCTGGCTACCACAAGTCACCTGGCTCCACATCTCATATTTATGTTAATTTATTCTACTGTGGGGTGTATTTAGATGGATTAAGCAAAATGTCTATATTAACGTTTTATACAATATTTAATGCTCCTTAGAGTGATTATTATTATTATTATTATTAATATGGCATCTTCAAGACTAATAAGACACTCTTAGTGATTTTAATGTGTACCAGCATGCCAGCACAGTGTGTAAGTTTACTTAGGTACAGGTACACATACATATAATTATCAGTTATAATAATAATGTAGGTATGTAGTCTGCCTGGGCTACATACCTACACCTACCTACATAGCTACACGATATTTAATGTGACCCAGAGACATATTATTACCATCGACATACCATGTTCACTGAGTTTAATCGTTTCTGTCAACTACCTTTAGATGCCATCATAAACAAATGGAGAAGTAATGAATAATTCATGCTGAGAACTGTAAACAAAAGTGTTATGTTTTAAGAGGAGTGACGTAATGTTTTCCCTTCACCCAGCTACACACCTCCTTAGTATATAAACATAAAATATTTATATGTTATGTAACGTGTTTCTTATATAATATTGAAGAAAATATAATAGATGGATTAATGAAATGTTTATATTAACATAAAATACGACATTTAATGTGCCCAAGAGTGATTATTATTAGTACAGCGGTCCCTCGATAATCGTCGGGCTCGATAGTTGTCCTTTTCGGAAATCGTCACATTATTTTCATCCAAACATTGGCTCGCAAATGGTTAGTCGACTCGCTTATCGTCGTTCGTCCTGGATGCGTACTCACGGCTCTGAGCCGCCTCGGCCCCCCTTCCCAGGCAGTGTGCCATTGTTTGCCAGTGAGCGACGGTCCCCTCACTTGTTCATACGAAATATTTCATAATATGTATTCCATTCATTTTAGTGCTTGCAAGTGCTAAATAAGCTACCATAGCTCCAAAGAAAGCTCCTAGTGCCAAGCCTTTGGTAAAGGCGGCGAGAAATACGATTGAATTTAAGAAAAACATTATTGAACAATATGAAAGTGGTGTAAGTGTGGCCGAACTGGCCAGGATGTATAACATCCCGTACAACCATATCTTCCATCGTGGCCAAGAAAAAGGAAATCAAGGAAACTGTTGTTGCAAAGGGGGTAAATATGCTGACAAAAATGAGATCACCAGTACTCGAAGATGTTGAGAAGTTATTATTGGTGTGGATAAACAAGAAACAATTAGCAGGAGATAGTCTTATGATGTTGATTATTTGTAAAAGGCTAGGCAGTTGCATGATGATCTGGTAAAGAAATTGCCTGCAATGAGTACTGATATTTGTGAATTTAAGGCCGGCAAAGGTTGGTTTGAGAGGTTTAAGAACCGTAGTGGCATACACAGTGTGATAAGGCATGGTGAGGCTGCTAGTTTGGACAAAATTGCAGCTACAAAATTCGTAAGTGAATTCAAGGAGTACATAGAGGCTGAAGGACTGAAACTTGAACAAGTGTTCATTTGTGATGAAACAGGCCTCTTTTGGAAGAAAATGCCAAAAAGGACCTACATTACTCAAGAGGAAAAGGGACTGCCAGGACATTAGCATATGAAAGACAGGCTGACACTCATGTTCTGTGCTAATGCTAGTGGGGATTTCAAAGTGAAGCCGTTACTAGTGTACCATTCTGAAAATCCCAGAGTGTTAAAAAAAAAACAATGTTATGAAGAGTAAACTGTGTGTGTGTTTTGGAGCTCTAATAATAAGGCATGGGTCACGAGGGAAATTTTCGTCGAGTGATTCAATGAAGTGTTTGGCCCTAGTGTGAAGAATTTCCTCCTGGCAAAGAAATTGGATCTCAAGTGCCTCCTAGTAATGGACAATGCACCTGCTCATCCTCCAAACTTGGATGACCTAATTCTGCAGGAGTTTGGGTTCATCACAGTAAAGTTCTTTTCCCGGAATCACTCCTCTCCTCCAGCCCATGGACCAGCAGGTCATTTCAAACTTTAAAAAACTCTACACCAAAGCAATGTTTGAAAGGTGCTTTAATGTGACCTCAGACACTCCACCTTAAGAGATTTTTTGGAAAGAACACTTCAGTATCCTCCATTGCATAAGCCTTATAGGTAAAGCTTGGGAGGGAGTGACTACCAGGACTTTGAACTCTGCTTGGAGAAACTTGTGGCCAGATTGTGTCCACAAGAGGGATTTTGAAGGGTTTGTGGCTGACCCTGATGAGCCTATGTCAGTTGTGAACTCTATTGTGGCATTGGGGAGTTCCATGGGGCTGGATGTGAGTTTGGAGGATGTGGAAGAGTTGGTGGAGGACCACAATGAAGAGCTAACCACAGAGGAGCTGCAAGAGCTTCAGCAGGAACAGCAACAGATCGCAGCTCGGAATCTTGCTGCAGAGGAGGAGGAAGAGAGATGAAGGAAGAGAGATGGAAGAAGGTGCCTTCTTCAGAAATTAAGGAGATTTTTGAAATGTGGGGTAGGATGGAAAGATTTATGGAGAAACATCACCCTGAGAAGGATGTTGCAAGCCATATCGGCAACTTGTACAGTGACAGTCTTGGCCCATTTTATTGAAGTTTTAAAGAGACGCCAGAAACAGAGCTCTCTGGACACTTTTTTTGCGAGACAGGGCTCCAGTGACTCTCAAGCTGGTCCTAGTGGCATTAAGAAACAGAGAAGAGAAGCAACCCCAAAAAAGGACTTGGTACCTGAGGTGTTGATGGAAGGGGATTCCCCTTCCACACAGTAACTAATCCAATCTCTCTCCTCCTCCAGTCTTCCATACACTAATAAGAATCGCCAATAAAGGCAAGTGTTATGCTGTTAATGTTTCATTCATCATGTCCCATTGTATTGTTTATGTGCTACATCTATATTTCACATAAAAAAATTTTTTGTTTTAATACTTCTGTGTGTCAGGAACGGATTAATTGTATTTACATTATTTCTCATGGGGAAAATTGATTCGAAAATCGTCTATTTCGATAATCATCGCACTTCCAGGAATGGATTAACGATGATAAACGAGGGACCACTGTATTATGTAATATTTTCCCTCCACCCGGCAACCACATCTCCATAGCATGTAAACAGCATGTTTATATGCTTTGTAATGTGTTTCTTATATAATTTTAAAGAACATATCATAGATGGATTAATGAAAATGTCTACTTTGACGTAAAATTAGACATTTAACCCTTTCAGGGTTTCGGCCGTACTAGCCCGGCTTACGTACCAGGGTCCTTGACGTATTAGTACTCATAAATTCTAGCGCCTTCAAATCTAGTGAGAGAAAGCTGGTAGGCCTACATATGAAAGAATGGGTCTGTGGTCAGTGTGCGCAGTATAAAAAAAAAAATCCTGCAGCACACAGTGCATAATGAGAAAAAAAAACTGACAGTGTTTTTGGATTAAAACAGCGACTTTGCACTGTATTTTCGTATGGTATTGGCATTTATTGTTGTATTCTAGTTTTCCTGGTCTCATTTGATAGAATGGAAGACATATTACAGAAATTGAGATGATTTTTGACTGGTTTTACAATGAAAAGTACCTTGAAATTGAGCTCAAATTAGCAGAAATGTTCGATTTTTACCAAAGTTCAAAAGTAAACAAATCATGCTAAGAGTCCAATACACGTCAACTGGTGAGTCTAATGTTCTTTCACAAGTGCACCGATATTATTTATACCATTTCTACACTAATGCAGTAGTCTGCATAACAGTAAATTTTCTATTTTTTTGTGAGAATAAAAATTCAAAATGGAAAGCAAAAGAATGTAAAAGGGGCGTGGGGGACGTGACTAATGAACAGAGGAAATGTTATTTTAGTGCCAGCAATGTCTTGTTTATTCTGGACCCTATTTGGAAATTGGCAAAATGGCTAAATTCTGACCACTATATTGGATAGTTGAAATTGGTAAATGGGTGGTTTCTTGTACTAATTCAATAGAAAAAATGGAGTTCTAGGACACTGGAATTGGCTGAAAATAGGGCTCAAAGTGGGCAAAATCGCCGATGCGTAAACATCGTCGAGACCACTAACTTCGCGAGAGCATAATTCCGTAAGTTTTCCATCAAATTTCATAGTTTTGGTGTCATTATGATCGGGAAAAGATTCTCTATCTTTCATAAGAATTTTTTTTTTTTTTTTTTTAAATTTGGGGACCCGGAGAAAAAGTCTTGGAGAGGGCCTGTGGACCCTGAAAGGGTTAAAAAGGACATAGGTAAGTACTGGTTTTCTAACAGAGTTGTAGATGCGTGGAACAATCTTCCCAGTTGGGTGATAGAGGCTAGGACCTTGGGTAGCTTTAAGAAGAGATTGGACAAATATATGAGTGGGAGGGGCTGGGTTTGATTGGTGTCATTGGGTACGGGAGTTATTTCTTGGGTAGCTCTAGGTAGAGGTAGTTTTGATAAGGACCTGCCTTGCATGGGCCAGTAGGCCTTCTGCAGTGTTCCTCCATTCTTATGTTCTTATGTACCATTTTGCCTGAGAAGCAGGTGATTTAATTACTAGTCTCTCAGCCTTGATAGATGATAAGTCTCTTAGTTTTGATCAGTCTGAAGCATAGGCAGAAGGAAATATTTTTACACACCGAAGGTCACCTCCCACTGTTATAGCATGGGAGATGACTATCATTCATTCATTTGCTGTTTTGCCTGAAATGTACAGACATCACAGTTTAGATGATGCTCCAAACTGCAACATCCTTACCCCTCCTTTAGAATGCAGCCACTGTACTTCCCACTTCCAAGATTCTAAGTCCAGCAATTTCCCCTGAATTTTATTATATGTTACCTTGCTTATAATCCAATATCCTGATAAACTCTAAACACCACTTAGTCTCTACTCTGATCCAACACACTCACACAAGCCTTTTTAATGGCAAAGCCCCTAGTAAATCAAAACCTTTACCCCCCTTCCCAACAACTTTCCATGGAATGACTCCTACCTCTCTGTCCTGACACCCCCAGCTTTACACACACTCTCTTGGTCATCCTGCTCTATTTCATCCTCTCTGAATGGCCAAACTACCTCAACAACACCTCTTCAGCCTTCTCACTTATATTTTTGGTAATCCAACACACACACACTGCACTTCAAATTGTCTACCTAATATTCACATTACACATTACCCTCAAATACATCTACTGCCTCCAGCCTCCTCCTCCTCCCCACTGTCATATTTAAAACCCATTTCACATCCAACTTTATGCCTCCATAAAGTTGTCTCCACAGATGTTTCAGTGCACCACCTACCTTTTTTCTCTATGTCTGTTCTATGGTTCACTTTGTTTTCCTTAAACTCGTATACCAACAGGTTCACTCCCATCTGAACACATTTACTTCCTCCAATCTAATGTATACTCTGTCATTACTTAGATTTTGATAAATAACCAGCTGAAGACCTTTCAGACTACTAATAGCCCTACATCAAGAGCTGACACTTATAAGGAATAGTAATTAAGAAAAGTCAGGAATTACCACTCACTGACTTAACCTCCAGATTTTCCATTTCATTTATGCATTTCCTTATATTGCAAAGCTCCTGATGAAGCAGTGGCAAAAGTGAAAGGGCCTTGAGCTACTGCAGCATCTCCCTCATGTACACACATTTGTTGATTTTTTAATATGGCTGTTTGGAACATGTGTAACAGATCAGGCTTTGGTAAAAAAGAAAAAAGTATCAAGAAATATTTTGTTTCACTAAGTTGTGACAAACAGCTGCTACAAGTGATCACAGAGTGTGGGACAGATTCCCACCAAGCAAAACTTCTGTAATATATACCTACTGTAGTAGCTAAGTGAAATCATACCAAGTAAGCTACTACTAATTGGGAGATTACTGAATATGTAATTCCTGCTTTTTCACTTATTGCATTTTTATTTCCATACTGTGAGAAAAAAAAGAAGAGTAAAAGCTATGCTGGCTGAATAGAGCATCAGAATGACCTTAATCCATTAACATTTTCAAACTTTCTTTTAATAATTTTTGACTGTAGATAATTAACCCTGTTATTCCTTGAACCATGTTAGTTAGTCATATACTATTTAGACAGTATGTTGAAAATTCTAGCAAATTATCAAATGGGTAACTCCATTTATGAGTGATAAAATTAACTGAAAAATGAATATTATAAGTTAATACCTTGATTATGATGGCATTACAGGTGAAACCCTTCTTAGTCCTCTGGTGATGTGTGGTCCCCATGGGCTGCAGTTTGCACGACCGGTAGAACTGCGACTCCCTCATGCGGCCTCAGTGTCTCCCAATACTTGGAGTTTTGCCCTCAAGTCCTCAGATACACCCACAGGCCAGCCAGCACAGTGGACTAATATGTCCCTGGCCGATGCACCTCATACCTCTCACATAGGTGCCAACTGCGTATCTGTTTTGGTCGATCACTTCTGAAGACACATGTGTATTTAGCTATGTTAAATGCCATTGTTTTAGTGATATTTTGAAGATAAGATGATTCATGATCAGCCACTTGACTATGTATGTGTTTACTACATTCTGAAAACATGACTGAACCACTATTTGTCATACCTGAAAAATGTGTTAGTTAAACTATATAAATTATTTTTTAATTCCCTCAAATGCTCTGGAAAAACTCTCCCTCACACTTGCTATGAATACCTTTAGAAGATGTGATTTTTGCAATGTGTGTAACATGTTATGAAATCAACAAGTGAATGGTGATTAGATGTGGAAACATTATTTTCTTGTTGCTTAAAAGTTTTTCATGTATTTCTCCTTTGAGATGTCATCCACTGAACTCTTATGTGTTCTATGTACAAGTCATAAATTTTCCTTGTTACTTAAACTTGCATAATGGAAATAAAATGTGTGGGAAGTTGGTTGGATAGTTGGGCAAAAGTGATGTCTTTATGTAATGAGGTTGTCTGCTGTTCTTAGTGTACAAGTGTGGATGTTGGAAAAAATATATCAAAATATTTTTGCATCACAAGAATTATGGTGTTATTATGAGCAATGTTGTATGTATAGCCCAGTTTGCCTTTCAGATATTTATTGTTTCTACCATACACTTTCAAATTTTTTTTTATTTCTTAAATGCAGTTCAAATAATCATTGATTGTGAAGCTTAAAAACTAAAGGTTGTTTCCTCAGTAGATGTTTAAATTATTGTAAACCCATGGTTGTATTTGTATTTGTATTTGTCATGGGTAGGGACTAAAATTTACAGCTTTGTGTTTTGTAAAGGACATTTTTCATTTTCATATACACAGAGATCATTGATGTGTCTCATACACTGGAGAAGACTTTCTAGTAGACACTTATAGCAGATAAAGCATTTCATGATAGGAACTATTAGATTATAAATTACCTAATTTTAGAACTAAAACATGCTTGTGTGAGGAAGCTTCCAAGCTCAGGCTCTGCTGTAGTGGGAACACTCAAGTTTTTAAATGACAATAATCAATGCTGAAATCATGTTAATGCTCAAATGTTGTTGATATTGATAATGAGCTGGGTATTTGATGAGCCAGATAGAGGATTTTGGGGGAGGGAATGGAGAATACCATGACCTGTGTTGGATCTTAGCCAATCTACTTGCCTGGTGGTTCTCTTAAATGAATAATCAAAAGAAATATTTGGTTTATGTGGTATTAGAATCTGTCTTCATGCAAGAGGGACCTTAGCTTATACATTTTGATGCACAAGTCAGTTTTTTCACCAGCATTTATATACATCACATACAGTTGTGAATACTGAACTGAGGACAGTTCTCATGGTGTAGAAACTAAAGCACAATATGACTGTCAGTATTGAATTTTTAATTGCATTAAAACCCCTGCTTTTCATGAGAGAATGTTGCAAGTCCCTTCCAGTCTTTTCCTTTCAATAGGGATTGACTTTCATGAGCCAAGTTTGGACCATCCCTCTAGAATTTTCCAATATAAATAACATCACGTATCTTTCTCGACAGAGTTCCAGGGAATACATATCAAGGACTTCCAACTGTTCCCATAATTTAAGGTGCTTTATTGTACTCATGTGTGCCATAAAAGTTCTTTGTTACCACTCACAGGTCATCAATATTTTTGCCTTCTTGAAGGGCAGTTGGTGTACAGCAGTATCCCACCTAGAAGAACCAGCGATATGAGAGAACATCAATGGGCTTGGTGTCCTAGTTTTGAAAGTCCTCAGTATCCATTACATCATTTTTCTAGCAGATGCGGTAGAGTACAATGTTGTGGTCTTTGTAGGCGAGATCCACAGACTTTATCCTCCCAGTCCTACATACTTTTTCACTCTATTGTTAGGATTTGTTGAATACTCTTACATTTTTTAATTTCTCAAGTTTTCCATATCGGAGAAGTGAAAGTTCTCTTACATTGAACCTCACATTGTAATTTGAGTGTCCCCCTTTGAAAAATTGGTTGATATCTGCTTTAGTCTTTGTGGAATCTTCGATGGAGGTCACAGTCAAGGCAATTCAGGTTGTCATCTGCAAAAGGAAGACCACAGAGCTATGCTTACATCTCATATTTCAGATATGAGATGAGGAATAGGGAGGGAACGAGTAGTGTGGCATCTAACTTTAACTCTGTTACTAATATTCAATGTGGTTCTATTTGTTAGGAAAGTTTTAGATCCATCTACCACTTTCCTGATATTCCTTATCTAGCATTATGTGCACTATTATACTGGTGGTCACACTTGTTCGAAGGCTTTCGCAAAGTCTGGTATACTACATCTGCATTTTGTTTATCCCTCTATAGCATCCATGACATTTGTCCATAAGAACATAAAAAGGAGGAACACTGCAGCAGCCTGTTGCCCATACTATGCAGTCCATACAATTCATCCACTATCCAGCATTTACAAACCCAATTTTCAATGCTACCCAAGAATTAAGATCTGATGTGCAAGTCACAATCAACATACACACCACTCCTCACTCCCCAAGCACCACACACCACCAACCAAAACTCTTTGCGAACAACGCTCAACGTCCACCAACATCACCCACACTGTACGACTCAGATCCCCCTCCTCCACCCTACGATTACTTCCACCAAACAGACATCCAGAATCCATCCCTATTCCAAGCTCTCAAAACTGATATCCAACTAAATCCAATTACTACGGGTCCTCTCTTTCGCTCTATATTAGCGAGACGCTTGATCTCGCCTCATACCTTAGCTAAATATCCCCTTATTATTAATACCTATCTTCCACTATATACTTCGATCAGTCTCCCCTTAGTGGTCCAGTTGCTGGACAGGCAGGAGCCACCCGTCTAACCCAAATTAGCCCTGGGATGTGTAACTGATGGGTATCTAGTGTTGGCGATTTTTTCTTAGAACCCTTACAAAGATTTTTATGATATGGGATGGGTAGTGCTATCATCCCTGTATTTTCTTTGCAGTTGTTACTGACACCTTTGTAGAGTGGGCATGCTGTTGTTTTTAGCAATGTGGGATGATTCCCCTGTGTCCAAGCTCCCCCTCCATAGAATGCTGAAGGCACATGACAGGGGCTTCTGCAGTTCTTGATGAACACAGAGTTCCCATATCCCAGCCGGGCGCAGAGTGCATGGGCATGTTATCTAGTGCCATTTCCTGAGTCATGAGGTGTTAGGATAATATCAATTTTTGAATGAACCAAATATTGGGGTCTCAGTCATAAAAATTCATTAGATTGTCGATCCTTAGTCTTCAACAGCTCGCTGAAAACCAGTCACATTGGGACATCTACAGTCGGGCCCCACTTATACGGCAGGTTTAGGTCCAGGCTACTGCCGGAAGCAGACTTTGCCAGAAAGCAGAACTCCATTTTTTGTCGGGTGGTTCCATTTAAAAATGCATATAAATGCCAGAAAACAAGTTTACACTAACATTATTAAGTT